TTGGTAAATGGGCTTCGCAATGCGTCATTTGTTTTTACTACTAGTATTTGCTTTCCATTTCCAGTTTTCATTTTCACACTTACCATTTTCAGTGTCGGCGCAGCAAATGCATACACAAAATTTCCCAGGAAAAGTCTCAAGTGCGAGCCGGGTCGAGCTGGGGCTCACAGTACGCTGATTGATCGATTGATAGATCCTGCGCGCAGGACAGGTAAAAAAGAAAAGACAAACAAAAACACTCGTTGTTTCTCTTATTTACTTTTATCTATGTTAAGATCACTTTGAGGCTTGATGAAATGAAATAGCACTTGAAAAAAAAAAAGAACTAAGGAAATATATTCAATTCGATTTTAGAAACTTTTTACACTCGATTCTTTGTTTTTGTTTTTATTTTTATTTTATTTTATTTTTTTTAGCACTAATTTGTTTTTTATTTTGGTAATTCGGCACGGATTGAGGCTCGCTGAGGTGCACCCACGTATCTCGTATCTCGTTGATCGTATGTGTATATAAAAATAAATATATTTTTTTACCGCTAGCCAAGCGATCGATGCCAGAGACAAAAACTAACTGCACATGCGCGCAGGCGCCCACAAACTGAGCCGCGCTCGTGGAAAATGCGGCAGGTAAAGCCAACAAAGCGACGCGCCGCAACGTGAGATCGGCGCGTACAGCGCAAGAGAAAGAGTGCGACTGATAGAGAGAGAGAGAGAGAGAGAGAGAGGGAGAAAGGTAGAGATAGCGTCGCATTGTGTATGTCTCTCTGGTCTCTAGTCTCTAGCGCTACGTGAGCGCTCGCGGGCGGTTTTCGCTCAAAGGCAACATGCAAAATGTTGCAAATAAATGTGACAACGGCCAAAAACTCCAACGAAAACTGGAATTGAGCTCGAGAAACTGAAAATGAAACTGCAAACGAAACTGAGCCACTGAGGCACTGAGCCACTGGAGACATCCTTGGCCAAAGCTGTGAGCAAAATCAGAGCGATTCGAAATTCCAATTGCGACACGAAAATTGATTTTTTCTTGACTTTGCCGGGAAAAGCTTGAACATTTAATTATGTTTCTCTGTTAATTAATTTTTTTTTAAATATTTGGTTAACTAGTTAATGTATTTATTTCATGAGACACAATTTATGATCAAATAAGTAAAAAATAAAATAAAATAATTATAGGGACTGACAACTCTTTAAGAGATTGATCAATTAAAAGCTTAAAGAAAACTGTGAAGCGTTAGTTGAAACTCTTTATGCCACGGATATGCGGGTTATAATGATCTGCTAACAGGCAGCAGAAGGCGTGGCAGCCTTAACTCAGTTAACAGCCTATAAATGTCTCTACTTCAGTCTAGTTGGGCGTTTCATTACGGATAGACCCACACTACTTAATATTGATATTGAATTTCCATTCAAGGTTTTGTGCTCTGATTGAAATTGTTGGTTGTTGGTTGAATGGCTGCACTTGGGCTGAATATAATCCATAAGCTTGGACAGAAAATTACTATTTCGTATGCTCAATGGGCTGGCGAGCTCATTGCTCCATATGCCTTTAGAAACGATGATTGATGATTGAGAAAATTAGTGTTCGAGGCAGCTCTGTGTTGAGGTAGTGGTATCTACTAGTCGTGCACACCCGACTAGAAGCCTCTTACTTGTTTTCTCTTTTTGGCTTTACTTACCATTCTTTGGCAGTTAGAAAGGCTGGGAGAACGTTTGCAAACTATTTAGATTTTCACTCATTAGAAGTACTTCAAGAGCACTACGCTCATTAGACGTGGCTCATAATAGAATATCTCCAACAAACAACAAGAACAAATTTGAAGCACAGCTTGTACGTAGTAAATATTGTTGCAGTTTAGTTGAGCTAGATCCAAATCAGTTTCTCAACATTGGATAACTCTGTGACGTCATTATGGCAAACATCTGCGAAAAGATCTTGGCTAGCATTCAGATAAGAACTAGAGCGTCGTTCACACGTCCATTGGGCTCAACGGCAACATGGAAATTATGACGTTTCATCAAGTGAAACGAGTATGTTAGCTTTGTGCTAGTTTCGTCTTGCTGTTGATCCGTCTATACGTCCGTCTCTCCACTGCGCCTCCAATCGTTTGTCTGCCTGTCTGTCTGTCTGCCCGTCTATCTGTCCGTCTGTCTGTCTGAATGTCCATCTGTCTGTCTGTCTGTCTGTCTGCCCGTGTATCTGTCCATCTGTCCACCTGTCCGTTTGTCCACCTGTACGTCTGTCCGTCCGTCTGTATGTCCGTCTGTCTGTCTGTCTAACTGTCTGTCCGTCTGTCTGTGTGTCCGTCTATCCGGCCGTGTGTCTGTCCGTCTGTATGTCTGTCCGTCTGTCTGTCCGTGTGTCCGTTCATCTGTCTGTCTATACGTCTGTATATCTGTCTGCCTGTCTATCCGTCTGTATATCTGTCAGTCTGTCCGTCCGGCCATGCTTCCGTCTGTCCTCTGGCCTTCCTTTCCTCCACTCGACTATTCGTTCGTCCGTCCGTCCATCTATCCGTCCGTCCATCTGTCCGTCCGTTCATCTCTTTGCCCATCTGCCCGTAAAAATGCCCCACACAGGGCACCTCCATTTCATGGATCAGATCTTCCTCAGCTAAGACACTTCCGACTTCCTCTCGAGATTTACCAAACATTATTTAACCCTTCTCATTTGCCCCACTGAGACAAAGTGAGAACTGATAACCCTGATTAGACTCCGGCAAATATCAAAAAAAAAAAAAAAAAAAAAACTCCGACGTAATGGCTTGCAAATTTCTTTTGAAACAAACGGCGGGAATTGTTGTCGATTTCGTTTGCCTGGTGATGCGGATCGCATAATTTTCGTACAACATTTGAATGCTGATCTGGGCTAACAGCGATTTCTCAGCTGCTTCTTCAGCTTCTGCTTGCCCCCCTTGATGCTTGGGCAACAGCGGCGACAAGATGAAAGAAAAAGAGTAAATATATATGTATACATATAAACAAATAAAAAATAATGTGTAAATGCGCAAATTACATAAGAAGTGCGAGTATGAGCAACATTCAAATAAAGATACAATTGTATCTTGCCATTTATCTTTACTGTGCCCCCAAACAACAACAACATTTTGGGCGCAGTTTGTGTGCCCCCCACATAAAAAGAAAAAAAAAAAAAAAGAAAAACCCAAAAATATGATGATAATAAAAGAAAGGTTCGCACGAAATGTTTGTGATTTGTTTAGTGCTGTTTGGTTGTTTGCTGGGTCAGCGGCGACGCAACACACCTGCCCAGAAGAAAGCGAGAAACAAGTCTCATCACTGTTAGAGACGAAGCTCGCATCAGCAGCCGCAACTGCAGCGGATACTTAGCCGTTGTTGTTGTTGTTGTTGTTGCTGCTGTTAATGTTGTTAATAATGGCCAAGAGTTACATTTGCGCCATGAGCGTATATGAGCAGCGTTTAGGGCCAAATGGCACAGCGTTGGCCCGTGCGTTGCACGTAGCTCGTCTCATTGCTCTAACGCTTATCATCAAACATGAGCTCGACTGTCGGACGGACGGCGACGGCGACGACGTGCCTGGACTGCGGCCAATGCAAAAGTGCCGGAATCATTTTTGCATTTGCAGACGTCAGCCAACTGACGACTGCCGGCCTGGGATTGCTGTGGATAGAGTCTGGCCCGGCCTGCTTTAATTGTCGCCAGCGTTGGAAATCATTTTAACGAGTTACGCGCATGCGCAATTGTCCAACCAAGCGACGGTTCCCGCTTCGTCTTCATCTTCCTCCCTCTGTGCCTGCTGTCTGTTGCCTACCCCCTTGCTCACCGCACTGCCCACGCTTCCCTCGCTCTCCTCGCGCTCCCCGCTCTTGCCTTATGCAATCGTTGCGGCGCCGACGACTTTCACTCATTTGAGAATTCATCGAGTTGTGGCCGCCGTGCGATTTACTTGCATATTTATTGTACTCATTGCAGATTCCCACTTCTCTAGGTCGCCCCGACACCTCCTCACTCCCCGACTCCCCTACTCCTCTACTGTCAGTCTTAATCAGACGTAGTTTTTCTTGAATGGTTTTTCTATCATAACAATATTACAGATAATGTGTTACTCCATCTCCCCAACCGCTTCACTTATCAGGAAGGCATTTCTCAGTCGAGATTAGAATTTTTATTATGCGCAATTATCTGCATCGTTATACCAATACTTTTTTTTTAGGTGAGAGCATATTGGAGTGGACTATAAATGTTATAGCCAAACATGAACGGGAATCAATGGCGTTAGATCATTGTTAGGTTTCTAGGCTAAGCCCCAATATGTAGTGAAACAAAATCAAATCATGGCATCTATGGCCGAGCGATATCTTTCCCAATAATCTTTTTTTTTTTTTAATAATAAGTTTAGATATTCTAAAATGAAGAGTGCCCGACTAGAAGATACCCTGAACCTCTGACTATTAACAAAATATTGACACAGCCCTATCATATATCATGTTTATATATAGAATTGGTCGCATTTAAAATAAATTTCATTATCAATTGTAGCTATTGACCATTTCGATTCATAATTGGCTGACTACAGGATGTTGACTTCGCCATGATTCAGTGGAATTGGCTATCGAAACTGTAAGCTTAATCAGATATTACAAAGAGATTGCAGCCAAAAGGAATTTAGGCAGATTCTGTCGGCCAGCTTTTGCTCAGCTATTCGTTACTATGCAGAGAGATAAGAGAAGATCATTCGTGACACTGTTTGATTTATCGTAGGGCTAACAGAGTCATGTTCTTACAATCTGGCTCGAATGAATACGTGGCGCTCAGAGCAGTAGCTCGTCATTTTGTTGTCCAAATTTGGACCTAAATATTGAAAGAGCTCATCAAGTGCCATCGATAAGATACGACAGACAGTCAGTTAGGCGGAATTTTAAAATTAAAACGTCCTCTTATCATGGTCACTTGAGCATTTTCTATTAAAAGCGAATTGATTACTGATTCCGCATATGAGATATATGATAGATATATCCAATCAATTAACATCAATTAGACTAAAATTTATTCATTTGAACAAAAAAAAATACAAAAAAAATTCCACAGGGATTGAAAAAAAATAATAGGTTGCTATAGTTATGCATTGCTTAATAGTACACACAGTGGGATATTTATTTCATCATTAAAATTCTGCACTGATTTCTCACTGCTCTACATTGCATTCACCATTAGGTGAAGCCTTGGTGCAGTCGTAGTTTGACCTACAGAATCCGCAGCCTGGATCAAACTGCTGTCCATAGGCGCACGTTTGAACTGCCGGGTGTATATCACCATTGTCATCTTCAAAGCAATATACGAATTTATAACAATCTCCATTTTTGGGCATGAATCCAGTTGTTGCGCAAACTATTTCAGGTTCCGGGGTGGTCGATCCAGTTCCGGGAGCTTCAGTTGTGGTACTAGGTATGGGAGCATTTGTTGGTCCGCTGGGATCAGGAGAAACCGTTGTTCCGCTAGTTCCGGGAGCATTTGTTGGTTCGCTGGGATCAGGAGAAACCGTTGTTCCGCTAGTTCCGGGAGCATTTGTTGGT